ACTCAGCTGCACGGCAGAACAAGTGAAATAATGCTACCGACTGGCAGTGTTCTCTTGGAGCTTCTTTGATTTTGCTCATAAATCTCATGTGACCACAGAAGCCTGCAACCGACTGGCAGCATCACTGGATGCGACTTTGCAGGGGGGGGGGGGGTTTGCTCTTCAGAGACACTTTAGCGAGGCGTCTGACATCGCACAGAGGGCTTAGCGTGCAAATGGCAGATGGCACGCCATCTTACATGCATAGGTGACTTTCATATCCATCCAAAACAACTTTAACCCCTTCGTGCATTACGTAACCTGCTTTGATACAGGCACTGGGATGGAAAAGTGGCGAAACGATTACCGGCACTTCGCTTTTAACCCGGCAACCTCAATTCAATTCCTGGCCAGGGTTAACATCAGTGGCGAGTGATTGTGAACCACGACTGTGTTCTCTATTTACCAACCTACGCTGACCAGGGTGCTGAAGTTATGGTCAAGCAAACCTAAATGACCGCAACGGAATCAGATGTCCTACATACTGCAGCCAAATTAACAAAGCGCTATAAATACTTATTAATTACCATTGCTTTTTATCAGGAACGATACGTTACACATGCCTGTAACTATGCAATTCCTTAACGGACCTAACCCTCCATAATGTGCCCTCAGTGGGTCACCTACGGTGGCTGCTCCAGCCACCGCACTGCCAGACTGCCAAGTCACCGAGGCTGTAATGTTTTAAGAGGGCGCCGAGACCCGAGGCTTGGGACAGAGCGTTAGTCTCCGCAATTTCTCCACATTGTAACCCGGTCGATGGTTGCCCATTCATATCGGTGGAGGGAGGATTTCCTCAATGTCGGAAGTATTCACCAAAATGTTGTAGAAAGCAAAGAAAGCACCCATGGCAGTTTTATTATTCCTCAAGCAAAGCAGCGTGCACTTGATATTCCCAGAATTTACGCCAAATCCACATTTCACGAATAAATTTGTCAAAATTGTTATTACCTTATTATTCACTTTAACATTTGATGTCGGAGGGACACCTATTTAAATGTAGAACATGCGTATTCGTGCAAAGACGCTTTGAAGTGAAAGGGTGATTGAAATGATCACGATAATATCTCCAAGTTGACTTCCTAGACAGTATGCTGACATCAAGTGTGGCCAAAAGCATCAATTATTGAATGATTCATAGTTGTGTGTTGGGAGTTCAAATAATAATTGTTCCCACCATCTGCCGTTGGAAGTCGGTAAAGGCCTGTATTGACGAGCAGGTCAGGGCTAAAGTGGGGTTACGTTCAGAGCCCACACCGACACTCGGAAATCCTCTGGGTAATACTGCCGAGGACAGCTAAGACGAACGCAACAAATCAGGTTGCCGTACTTATTGTGCTGAACTTGTTTGTCTACAAATTATAATCAAGGCCCTTATATTAAATTTGAGTTGTCACATCTGTGCCCCAGAGGGAACGCACCCTATTCAGCATCGAGAGCCTTCCAGCCCTGGCAAGCATTAAGGAAATAATTTATTCGAGGCTAATTCCTAAAACGTGGCCAGGAAGTTAAGGCACAATGCCTTCCTCTTGCAAACAATTCTGCAGGGTAAGTTTGCATCCCCGTAAAGTGGAAGACAGTAGGCTGATTAGATAACAATTCCACAGAGCGCGCAGTGTCAGGTAAGTCTGAGGTTTCAATGACAGTGGCCAGCTGTGAACCCGGAGCTAAGCGCATTGATCACATGGCCACGCAAGCAGCCTCTCAACATGGCAGCAGTGGCAAAAGCGGTTCCCCAGCGAGGATTTGAGACCAGACTGCCGGGCCCGCTGCCCGAGGAGTGATTGTGACTGCGCAGCGTACATAACCCCCCCCCGCACCTCCGCTTAACATGGTTGGCTACGTACGGTACGAAGGAAGTTCAACCTACGTATGCGTGTGCGCACACTCGCAGTCGCATGGGCTGGGGAAAATAATACTTAAGGAATAACGTCGAGAGCATTTATAATTTATCGAGCATCTGTTTCTGCATGTGGTTACCGAACCAAAAATGCCAATGCTTAACATTTCATTTATTTCGCAAGTATCGTTGTCAGCCGATGTCGCGGGTGCGAGCGGTATGCATTGTTTGGTGTTCTGTCACGGACAAATTAATGCATCACCCAGAGCCCCTCCACCAATCGGCAAATGAGGGCGAGAAAAAAAAGAGTACGGACAATTTTATTTTTTCCAGCACGGGAGTTAAAATTTTCAGATCGGTAAGAGAAAAACTGTGACACAAAAAAAAACATCTTGTTATTTTAGATGATTTACACCGCCCAAATTGTGTGGATATCTGTGTTGATAGATAGCTAAGCAAATTGCACTTTGAGTTTGTTTATAGGCTTAGGCGAAAAGGTTCTGGTAAGCATTATTCCACACAACATGCTTCTGGTAAACATTAAGGTTCTGGTAAGAACCTTAATCTTCTTACCAGAACCTTAACAACATGCTTCTGGTAAACATTAAGGTTCTGGTAAGCATTATTCCATGCAACATGCTTCGGACACTTTCTGTAGCTTCGCGGCGACATGTTCAGACACATTATTTGGCATCTGAATTATTCAAAAGCAAGCGTGCATATTCCAAACAGGGCAAGCACTCGCACTTAGTACAATTTATGACAACCACCTTGAGTGTCTTCAAGGTCTGGACAATTCCAAATTGAAAGATCGCACCTGGCGGCGGCGAGGTTTAAATCCGCAGTGCCGTGGTCGTCCCTAACTCAAGTGTGGTCAAGTTGCGCAACTGCTGAGGTGACAAAAGCCACCAGTGTCCCTGCTATATCCAAGTGGTTGTCGACGTATGGTTACGGATTCATCCAAACAGATTTTGATTGATAAAACAAGGCTTCACCCCCTTCCTCGCGTAATTACGGGTGTTAAGATGTTCAAACACCAAACAGACACCAATTGGAAGGCATGTGAAACCGCACACACTTGCGCTAGAAAATGCAAACAAATATGCTTTTATAATGTGTGCATTCTCCTGGAAACAAATTGGCCTGCACCAGAAACAGACATCTTTATGGCATCGTCTCACCAGTGCTAGGCCAAAGGGTGGCAAAAGGCAAGCAGTACAAGGGCAATGCCAACACCAAAGCATGAATAGCTTTGGAGGATTTGTTGTTTTTGTGGGACAAGTAGCAGAGGCGTCCCCACAAACACTCTATCCCCATCTTCCACAGGCCAGCTTCAGAAGCACGCTTTCATTTGGGTATAAGCCTTGCAAGTGCGGCTGAAGAGACGAGAAGTATTCTATTGACTCCACATCAATGGCTTCGTGGTACAAAGCCATATGGTTATCCATTGTTCAATGATGGCTCTGTTGCGACTGTGGCCCAAACAATCCTCAAGAGAATAACAACACAACAGACAACGAGAGACTTCCACCGTGCGACGATTACGACATGCGTTGCACCTGCGACCGACTTGCACCTGGCATCTCTCCTTGCACGCCCTGAGCAACCCAACATTCCCCGTTTGGGTGCATTTCACAAGTGATTAAATATTAACCCAAGCCATGCCATTGCAGGACTAATGGAAAGTAGCATTCGTCACACAAATTTGGGGGTAGAAACAAAAAAATATAACACAAAAAATGATGTCAGGAACAGGTTGCGCATGTTTGAGTTGTAATTGCACGAAGGCCCGGGACTCTGATCAGCGTAGAACCAACACATAGACTGCTGGCTCTCAACGACGAAACACGAGGCAGATCTATAGCTGTTGTTAAAACCAGGAGGACCAAAATCCCCAGCACTTGTAATCGACCGTTTGTTTGTCTACAATCAAGACAGAAACGAAACACAGTATGGAATCATTAGAAATTGGCGGTTAAACAAGGCGTCGTTGAAAGTAGAAAACACTGAACTGTGATGACCACATTTTAAGTGGAGCTGCACCGTTTGCGTGCATTACATTTCAATTCCAACTCCGATTTTGAGGAATCCATTTGCTCAAATTCAAAGCCCTTTGCATGCAAACGTGCTTTGAGCAGAAACACAGTTTCGGTTGGTAAAAAAAAAATTCTAACGAAGATATTTTACGAAGATTTATCAGCGTCTACCCACGTGTGTTTGGGATATCTCCTTAAGAGTGTCTTTGCGCACACAGTGAAGAGTTCAGAGCTCCGACCTTGCACAGGTACGCCATTATATACACCAACTTGAAAATGTTTCAGATGGCTTTGGGTGACAGTGCACATTTCAGATTGATGTACGTTCATATGTAAGCATACTTACTGCCTTAAGGAAGATCCAAGCCAAAGACAAATACCTATAATCTGGTAGACATGTAACCAGGATGTGTCCCAGGCTTGTCTGAAACAGGCTTTAAAGCGTTTGTCATAGCAATCTAGTGATGTCAGTGTGCCGGCTCTGTATTAAATTTCATGGGGGAATGATGTCACAGTAAGGCCACTGAGGTGTTGGAACTGTTTCTATAAAGTATTTTTGTTCATTTATGAAGCTTCAAACTCATGTTCAGGCAGCGTGAGGAAACGCAGAACCATCTTTACGAGATATTTACTTTTCGGGTTGTGTCTACGCCTAAGATCACAAGGGGTGGGCACTCCAAAACAAGGTACGGGAAACGCCCCCATTACTCAGCCCAGCATCACCTTGCAAGGGCACAATGTCTGGCACTGTGTGTCCGTTGGTAAGATAACACCGCCACAGCCACACGCAGCAGCAGTAACTTCAAAGCAAGCGCCAAACGATACGGGAGACGCGGGCCTCGCAAAACATTTAGAGACGTGACTTCTGCCACGTCTGTCGCCAAGTTTAAACACGTGTGTGAATACCTCAAATACCTGAATATATATTTTTTTAAATCGATTCCCCTTCAACCTCCACGCGAACACCGACAAACATCTCTCAGCTCAAAAAGCAACGGGCGGTACCATGAACGGTGCACGCGCACCCCCAGATTACAGGTGAGACCGTGCCAGGTGTGGGCGTGAGCGAGGCTGGTGCCCCTCACCTTGACAGCCTGCGGCGTGGCGGTGGTGTGCACGGTGCTGGGCTTCACGCCGTTGGCCTTAGACCGCTTGTAGAGGGCGAAGCGGCTCTTCCTGCGCCCGCGGTCGCCGTTGGGAAGAGAGCCGTTGTACCTGGAGACGCAGAGACGCAAACGACATTCGCCGCACTGCCTTGCTCCCCGTATCGTCTGAGCAACGGCTCTGCTGCGATCAGCGGTGCTAAGTTTTGAGCAAAGTCAGCAGTGTGAACGTCAAGACAGAATCATAATGTACTCACATTGCTTGGTTTTCGTCAATATACTTTGCGCAACTCCCACGTGTGAAACACTCGTGAAGGAATTGGTCTAGCATCGCTATGCAGGTCCCTTCTGAAAAAGACCATTGAGACTTGCTGATTTTTATTGGATAATAGATTACATTGTTCTCATAGAGGCTCTGTATGTCAAAAAGTCAACTTAAGTTGTAATACCGTTATAACGTATGGAACTGAAAACACTAAACCTTGTAGTAAGTTGACTTACCTAATCTCGGAAAATGCTACAGGTTCTACAACGAGATGTGTCCGAGTGAATGGAGATGCCTATACTATCTGTGTGCGTGTTGTTTTTGCGAAGGTGTCAAACACCCACGTTTGGCACCTTCGCATTTTCACGTTACGCTCATTGAAAATGTACAACGAGTATCATCACATGGGGAGCGGTGATGCAGTGGTTAGCTCACTGCACTAAGAATTCGGTGACCTAAAATCGACTCCTGGAACACGATCAACATGAGTGGTGAAGTAATATCTGAACCAGTCTTGGGCCCTCTGTTCACCCCCCTTCACGAACTCGCACTGAACAGCATGGGAATCACATGGTCAAGCAAACCCCTTTGCTCACCATGGCATCACAAGACCTCCATCTAGTAGCAGTCGATTTATTAACAGCTAAAACCAATTATCATCATCATTATTAAACGCACAGGTTTCCACTATTTATGACAGTGCCGCTTTATTTTTCGACGATTGCTTAGAATAACTTTTTTGAAACAATAAATTAGAGGGGAGAAAAATCGTGCGTCCCGTTGCAAATATCATTTTTCCAAGGGCACTGAATTGACATGCAATATTGGCTGGAAGCTTCTCTGCACCAATCCAAAAATAGACTTTTCTCTGCCAGTGTTTAATGCCTACAGTCCAGAGATTAAAAAACCCATTTGCGTTTCAGGATTGCATAAGCTGCCTCGGATAATTACTAATTAGAAACACTGAAGAGATAAGTTGTTTGGAAAATTAAGAACATTGTTTATTCAGTTCTCCATTGAAAAAGTTGTCTTTACAGAGCACCGGCTAGTTGTAAATATCCAAACAAGATGAAAATGTAGCGATTAAAAAAAAATGTTATTACTCATTTATTTCTTTAAGCAATGTTAATAACACAAATCTGCCGGTAGACACAACCCAGATATTAAAACACAATCCGTAACTTTACAAATACGGAAATGTTTTCCATGAGTGACTAGCAACAAACATACACGTCGAGCACTTTCTTAACAGCGGCACACGTGACAAAGAGGCTTGACGATTGTTGACGTTCCCGTTTGGCAACAAACGACACGACAGGGGCGACGTTTGTTGCACAGTACAGGTCGCTTGCGCTCCCGCTCGGAAAATTAACACTGCCCTCTGTGAGCGACTTTGAAAGGAAGCCCCCTGTCATTTGCGTGTGCTTCGCCAGCAGCAAAGCTGGGCGGTTCTCTTCCATCCCTGGGAGTACATTACACAAACAGAACAACTTTAAATCGAATTTAAAAAACACGCGCGCTGGCATGCGCTGGCTCGTTAATGTGTCAGCGGTTCGACTCTCATCCGCACTTAAAGAGTATTGACGGGATATACGTCCGCGTTCATTCAAAGGAACGGTGGCACATCATCTCCCGATCGGTTCGCTGTTTAGTGCTGTCAATAAATCCGGCTCTGCCAGTTTGTGACCGTGCCTCTCCAAAGCCAGCATCAATAAGTGCTTGCAAACAGCACTTGACCCCAACGATGTAAAAACAAGGTTGTGTTTGTTATAACAATGCAATCACTCTTAAAAGGCAGCTTGAAGGTAGCTTGGTCTACTTTTATCTTACTTATTTATCCACAAAAGTTGTCGAGTCTCTAAAATATTTTCCACAATTTGACACGTATACTTTCGCGACCAATATTATATTCATAATAAAAAGGGTTTTTTTTGGGTAATATCGCGTTTTTGTTTTTTACACAATTTTAACGCATTCGTACATTTGACCAATTGTATTTGAGGAGTGGTTTACACGTTGGGAGCGAATGGGAATGCGCGGAGGAAATCCATGTATATTAATGAATATCACTGAGGAGTCAACAAGGAGACGTTCACACACACACACGACTATTTTCTGTATTGCCACATTCAGGCCACCTCTGGGCCCACGGAGATGGGTGGGTTGACAAAACGTTGTGACCCACCGACACCTGCCTACAGTGCCACGTTACAGCCAGGTGCCACCACACGCCCAAACAAACACTATACCTATGACGCATACTATCATTATCTAATTGAAAGGAAATGCAGAAAATTATTAGATGGGCGTGAGAATGAAGGGGATGAGAATGAAGGGGATGAGAATGAAGGGGATGGTAATGAAGGGGATGGTAATGAAGGGGATGGTAATGCGACTGTCATGCAGTGCGGGGGTGTGTGTGCAAGCCGAGCGTTAGTGCTGCGCTACGAACTCGGCGACCCGAGTTCAATTCCCGACCACTAAGATTGGCGAATATTTGTACCGGTCCTGGGCCTTCCCTAGGTCGACTCGTCCTTAAATGAGTACCTGGTGCAATGTGTAAACATCAGCGCTGGGGAGACAAAGGCGGCCGGGCGTGGTGCTGGCCAGCCACGCCCTAACATGCTGTGCGGCCATCGCTAACAGCACTTGCCCCAACTGTCTGTTAAGGCTATCACGGGGGGGGGGGGGGATCTTGGTCTTCTCCAAAAGCATTTCCAAGGAGCATGAAACCAATGCAAGGGGCACACATTTCCTCCGCCGTGGCCTTGAGGAGCACACAGGAACGACAATCTGCTTCCCGGGTAATGTAGTTAGAACACGGCTAGCCGCACGGCGTGGCACCATGAGCTCATTACTGAACCCAAATAACAATGGGAACCCTTGTTCCAAATACTGCGCGCTCAGAATATCTCAATACGCCAGAGTCGACAAACTTTCTACCCCCGCTGCCACTGATAGGCCCGCGCTTGCGCATCCGCACGAGCCCCAGCACGGCGGTGTGTGTGCACGTGAACGCAATAAAGTCGGGGCTGCACAAGGCGGCGGGATAATAAGAACCAGGCGAGAGCAGATCGCAGCCCGCATCTCCACCGCGCAGTGCATTGAGCGCTGTGAATAATCACCGTATTCACGTGCTCGCTTTTACTGCCGTGCTGAATTTTAAATGTCGGGCGTGCCCACTGGTAGGCAGCACCCCCACCCCTTCCAACCTCCAACCCCCCACGACCCGTGCCACGGCAGCGCTTCCGAGGTTGAGAACCCTTCAACGGCGAGGGCGGGCGGGCGGGCGGGTGGGGGAGGGCGGGTGGCGGCGCAGAAGAAGTCGGCGCCGGCCGTGGCGGCTGTCCCTTCATTAAGCCCGACGCAGTCATGCAAATTTTACAGGAGTACGGAAATCTAATCAAGAGTTTGGCACTACCCAACCCGCGCCACCGCGCTGCCCATCGCTGGGGAGCCTCATTGCTTGACGCTCTGAGAGACGGATGGGGCTACCTGGCCCAGGCCAACTACATTCTCGGTAATGGCTCCGCAGTGACAGCGGGGGTAAATAGTGGGCACCTGGTAATGAACAGATAATGAGAAAGCCCTACATCTTCTCCGGCGGTTATAACTTTTGCTTTAAAAACGCGCACGCCATGTGTACATGGATAAATTGATAACACGAGCAATTAAATAAATAAACGTGCCTATTACTCCGTCACGCTTCCAACGGGCACGGTAGTTAATCACTTGAAGCAGGCAAAATGTGCAGTTATTGCCGAGCGAAAAATATTAAAAGACGTAACTACGATGAATAAAGGAACTTGTGGTGGGATTTTCAGTGAAAACACAAAATCCAAGGGGCGGGTGGGCAAGCACGGTGGTAACAAAAGGCACCCCCCCCCACCACAACATCAATAATAACAGGAACAGTGTGAGCCTATAAGGATGACATCATACCTCCCACTGCAGCACATTAGTTGCACACAAGAACATTTAACCCACAATCCCCTTGTGTCGGTCTTCCACTCTCAGAATATATTCATCTCTCCCGTGTCTCCCCGTCTCTGTTTCCGTCGCCCTCCATCTACAACTGTCTCTTCGTCCAACCCTTTGTATTCGTGTTCCCCCGTCTCATCTCTCCTCGTCCCGCTGTCTACAGGAAGTCACCTCTGCCCTATTCACTGCCCCGTCTCTGCTCGTCTCTGTCCCAGACCGTGCGCTCGTGGCGTGGCGTGGCTTGTGGCGGTCGTCACCGCTCTCCCGCCCCGGACTTTGCACTCCTATCGTGTGTTTGTACTGTTTGTTGTTGTAACGTTCCGACAGTCGTGCCCCTACTTGACATCTGTGAACAAGAGCTTTATAGCTAATCGGATTCCTCCAGAATAAATAAACATTCTGATTCTGTCCCCTGCACTCTTCTCCTACCTCGCCGCCGTGCCCCCCACCCCACCCCACCCCCACCCCCCACAATGCAAATCTGCAGTGCTCACGTAATTAAGGCAGCCCAAAATATTCGGCTACACATGTTCAATTTGGTTGAACAGGAATGCCATATTTACAGCCGTATTTGGCCGAATTGGAAGGCAAAGCAGATGTGCGGTGCACTAGCCCCAACTTAAAAGCATTTCTGCAGCATTTTAAGAAAAATCTCTCGATTCAATTTTAAAGTACGTCAGGGGTGCTTTTTATTCAATACTACGCCCCCCCCCCCTCTAACAGCGCATCTGGGAAACGATCTTCTCGTGACCACAATGAAAATTCATCAGGGTGAACTCTGACACTTTCCATGCAGCACACAGGCCTCCGCGGTCCTGTTAGCCAGTTGGAAGCAATTCCACACAGTTAACGTTGCAAGGCGCAACTTTTCGTGTGCCTCTGCAACCGAACCAAGGCATCGTACAAAATACTCGCTCTCAATCACAGGCTACGACCAAGTTTGGGAATTTATATTCAAGAAGTGACTCGTAAGCTCCAAGCACCGTGCAACGATCGCCGTATCCACTCCACCCCGCGCAAGGGTAACAACAACGCGCCGCTGGTCAAGCGTCTCTTAAAGCTTTCTGCAAACGCCCAAGTTGAAGGGGCCGTTCGTGTGCATTGCTCAGCTCAGAAGCGAGCTCCCAGCAGCGGCGGCGTCGAGCCGCCGGGAATTTTCTGCAAAGACGCCGTTAGGTTGTGCCGGCTGCAAGACCCCCCCCCGGAATAACACGGTTGGGTTCACGCAGTGCCTGCCGACATCGACTTTTGAGTAAGGACATTTAGATGTTCCAAAATATGCCCATCAATTGCATTAAACAAATAATTCTCGAGGGAAATTAATTTAGAAATGTAATTCACCCACGTATTGGGTTGGTTCATAATTAATACGATCACTTAAATCACTGAATTGGCATGCACGCACCTGTCTAACGTTACGATTCCTTGGGGAAAACGATCGATTAAAAATTGATTTAATTTTTATCAAGGATTTCTCGTAGTTAAGCACTTGTTTCATGCCTCCCAATAGACTTTGTTGCCCCTGACTAACACTCGTCGTATAAAACAGCTTGATTTATGTTCACCTTTCGTAGCACTGATGCAAGACGATGGCTTTAACCTCCAACCTTAAACAAATTAAGCCGATGTAACGTTGAATCCTGCAAATATGAACTCACGACCGAGTGTGAACGAACCACAACTTCAAACAGCCGTGCAAGTAGCCTGTTAAAGTGCAGAATAAATTATGTAATTGTTTTCATAATGTTTACACATGACACGGTGCATGCCTCTAATCGACACTGAAAGCATTTCAATAAATTTGGCCAACACTTTAAAGCCATGAAAGCTTGTAGGAATGAAGCTTGCATTATAGACAAATGCCCAATGTAAGTGAAAAGTTGACAACTATGCACGTTATATTTGCCCGACTTCATTTAACAACATTGTAAGTAGGATTTTTGACTGTGACATTCTGTACATATTTAATACAAAAAATAATATTCATATATTTCTTCAAGATATGAAAAAAAATGAATTCACCTAATAAATGTGTGGGTACAAACTGGGTGACTATTCAAGGTGTATAAGTATACAGTCCTTTATCAGTCCGCTGCTGGATGAAGGCCTTCCCCACGATGCCATGATAGTTGTTGGACTACGCGGATCAGCGCAAGGTGGTGAAGGGCTGGCTGTTGAGATACCACTCGCGTGAGCCGTGGCTGGGAATCGAACTACACATCTATGCGATTATAGCGCCCTGTGCCGACCACCGCACTGCTGCTCCACATCGGCTATTCAAGGCGTGCTCGAAATGAATGCCTCCAAGAGACAACAAAAGTTCAGAAATCAAGCCACAACCCTCAACCTCTACATCATCGGAGTCTTGTGACATTGACAGAAAGCCCAGCCCCAAGAAGAAAAAAATCTTGTTGATATGCAACTAGAATATTTTTTTGTTCTTTTTGTTCTTCCCAAAACGCAACAGTCATGTTTGCCAAAGCAGGGATAAAACAACTTGGCTCCATGCCTACTTTTAAATCTTTGCCCAAGGCCCAAGCAGCAATTCACATTTTTATTGCCATCAACGATAATCAGGCTTGATGATGCGATCGATAGGCCAGCAACAAAGACATCAGCGACTACCATCAAGAAGAGGAAAAATACGTAGAAGGAAATCAACCCAAACACAAGTGCTGGTGCAGGGGCCCTTGTGCAGGGCAGACAAGCCGCGAGCAGGCATTGGCCACGGAGTGTACCACGCGATCGCGGGGGTGTTCTCAACACCGCCTGCCCAGCCCCCCAACCGAGCCGGCGCAGTTGCCCTTACCCGAGCACGATGAGCTCGCCATACTTGACAGGGTCCTTGCTGGACGGTGGAGGGGACGCGTCGGGGCTGGCCGGTGAGTAGACGAGGTGCGGCGGCTTGGCGATGCTGTTGGCTTTCTTCGCCACGTTCGGCTCAACCAAAACCGGTTCCTCTCGGACCTCCGAGACCGTCCTACGGAGGAGGAGCACATAAAAAAAACCGGTGGGACGTGGTGAGAACAGGACACTGCTGAGCTTCCTTTATTTTACCAATAGGGTACAGACGTTTCCACAGAGGATTGTAAGGCACAGCGGACACAAGAAACTTTCAGCCATTGTATAGAAGAACATTATATATTAATTTAGAGAATATGGTACGTCATGTTCGAGTTGTTCAAAATATTAATCGGGCGTCACATTTTTTAATGTACTTGAAATATTGTGTTTAAAATTAGTTGATGAAACCCATGTTGCCCTTGCAAAAGAAGCAATGTCTCAATGGGTTTATTTAATCTCCTGGTTAAAAAAAAAGACTACCGACGGATTTTGCATGAACTGCAGTGTACACACGTGTGCAGAAAAACCATGCTTGTTTTAACTCAACACTGTCCTCACTGCAAATGGCCATACTGTACAATAATGACTGCCTGGTTTATCGATTTTACGGCTCCTGTAATCTACTTTAAAATATATATAGGATAAAAACCTCAAGTTTTCATCTTCTGCGTCCGTTGTTTACTTCAGAGAAAGAAAGAAATAATGTTACGTTCGTGCTCAATTTCTACTTCCCTTGGCGAAGAAATCATTATTCAGCAGTGTTCTGGAAATGCACAGATAATGCACCGCTACGGCACTTAAAAGCAAATTAAAATAAATTAAGGCAGGCTCTTGTCCTACACCATGCAGCTAAAAACTCAAAGTTTCTCTTTCCATTGTGTCGCTGCATCAGCTCGCATTGGTTTTCGTGGGTAAGGTCGCCTCGTGGTACAACTTAACACAGCCAAGGTGATCTTGAAGTTGGAATGGGAGCCAGTGAGGCCACTGGAGTATTGGGGTGCAGGTGAAAAGTCTGGCAGTGATCATTTGGATCCTCTGGAGTTTGGCGATGAGAGGTTGAAGAGGCCGAAGCGTAGAGGCGAGAGTTTCAGCACTCGAGTCGGGATGTAGCAACGCGAAAAAGGGTCTCAGCAGCAGCTGGGATTAGGCAGTGGCGGACGAGGTCCCGTAGAGTTGAGAAAAGATGGTGAAACAATGCCTCTTTGGAGACATGAAGTTCCGTGGAAGGGGAACAGAAGCACCAAGATATAAATTCCGGTATTTCTTACAAATACTCTTTGGTTCTTTCGGTAAAGTCACGGAGGTATAAAATAAAATAAATCACGACGTTTCGGGCGCAACACAAGCGTCTGTCATCAGGTGGGAAAGCGTGGTCTGCTGCTCAGGCAGCAGATCATGGATTCCTGCAGTCACGAAAGCTTCAAATCAATATTTTCTTACAAATGTTAAGGAAATGAAGGAGGGGGGGGGGGGGAGCCCCAGCACACGAAAAACACTGCTGTAGCCTCTGGCTGCGAAATACAGACGGCCAAGATTGAATGCAATTTACACGACGAGCCGTCCTGCTCAAACCTTTGAAGACAAAGTCTGTGTGCCGTAGTAAAGTGCCGGTGGGCTGGACACCTTCCTCGCTGCCGACTTTGATACGTTCTCAATTTGGAAATCTCGCTCGGAAGTTCCCCCCCCCCCCCCCCCCCCATGTCAGGTGCTGCTGGCCCGCGGTACAGTTGCTACGTCAACCAACGCCGGAAGGCCGCCTGCCCGTCATCGTCGCGATGCTTCCTGCTGCAGGAAGTGAAGGCAGTCTGCCGGGCCCATCACAGCCAGCCACACTCGCGCGGCTCATAACCAGGGGTCGGCATGCGTTATCAACGGTTTCCTATTCTGCAGAAAAGCCCATAAACTATTTGTCTTATTATGCCCCTAATATTTAACTCTTCCCCAAAAGTGTAAAAAAAAGATCACGTTTTAAGAAACCCACGTTTAATTTGAAATGGATCCTTGTCGATATGAAAGTATAACGTATAAACGCTGCCCACGACAGCATCAATTGTCAACAACGACATTTAATTAGGTTGCCTCTGCCAAAAAAGAAGTGACTGACCTTTTAACCCAGTGTGTTTTTCCAACCTAGCTATTTATGAGGATGGGCTGTCTTTTTTTAAATCTCCCAAACCCCTGACCCCACTATGATGAAGGGGGAAAAACCCATAACAGTCAATATTGTCATAATTAAGGATAGGCGGTCAAAAGGTGTCACAAAACAATTATAACAAAAGTATCATACAAAATATACTGTTCAGACCTTTTCTGGCACCCCATTTGTATAAATCACCATAAAAATAAGCATGCTGATGCTCGGCAATATCTTATTAAAATAGTGTGTGATGGTGCACACTATTTTAATATCCTGGAGCAACAAAAAAGTTTTGAACATCGCCCATATCACCAACAACAACCGCCATTCGCCACTAAGTGGTGGTGATGTCACCACGACGCTTGTGCCAGGCCATGTGCACCTTGAGGCCACGTGAAGTGTCGAACGCCCGCGGGCAGGAGGTCACGGGGCAGACCCAGGTGCCACGGGTCGACTGACTGAGATGACTGGCTGGTGCACCACCTGTGCGCCCTACTGTGCCAACCTGCTGTGCTTTAGCCACCCGGCGCTCCGCTCGTTGTTGTGAGCATCGCTCCTCCGCCCTCCGTTATTGTTGGAGGGCGACTGCCTCCAACTGCCCAGTAGCGTCCTTCACGAGCCTCCTCCAGAGGCCGATCTTGACACCGCTGGTACCAGTCATCAGCAAGTCCTCTCAGCTCCACGTCCTCCTGTACCACATCACTCCATCTCTTCTCCAGCCCGTGCCGCGCCCATTTAGCCCCCTCGATCCGGCCGAACAAAAGCTGTTTCGGCATGCGGTGGCTGGGCATGCGGGCTACATGACCCAGCCAACGCAGCCTTGCCTGCCGGAGGAGCTCACCGATGAGACCGTGCCCAGATCTTTCAAGGATTTGTGAGCTCACACAATCCAGGCTGGTTAAACCCAGGATGGTCCGTAGGCAGGCCAGCCTAAATGTTTCCAACCGGCGAAGATGCTCCATTAAGGGGGTCCCACGTTTCGCAAGCGTAGAGAAGGGAGGGAATGACCGTGGCCGAGAAGACCTGAAGCTTAGTGCGGAGCGACAGACCAGGTAGCTTCCACACAGCGTTACGCAACCGATGAAAAGATATTGCCGCTCGAATGAATCGGAGACCTCTGCTGTTAAACTGGAGCCGGTCATAAGAACACTGCCCAGGTATGGGAAACTCTCCACTCTCTCCACAACTGCCCCATATCATCACGCACATTGCCACATACGATCGGTATTGCTACCAGCAGCTACGGCACGAATGATAATAATCACCACCATCACTGACCAAGCAGATAAATACTGATTTAACTCAAGACTCAATCCTAATAGTTGCACAACCAGCTCGCCCAGCGTACACAGGCAGACAAACCTGTGCACTGTATGCGGTTGGCAATGGCCATCGATTGCTGGTGAAGAAGTGCACAACTTGGTTTTACTGTGCAAGCAGACTTGGACTAGCATCACGAATTTTGTGCGGATGAATTATTCTAAAAATCACCCTGCTATCACGAAGAGAGCTATAAGTTATATACATGGCACTGGCCAAACTTGAGCGTTTACAAAACCACGAGTAAAAAAAAAAATCAAGCTTACAATGTTTGGTCAATGGGCCTGGAGAGCCAAACACATTCTAGAGGCGAAAGCAGCGGTGAGAGCAGCTGATTTTCACTTAGAGAGCAGCAATGAAACGGAGGCACAGGTAGCACACGAGCCTAATGCCTGTATAGGAAAAATCATCAGCAGCATTTAATGAACAAGCCAATAAATGGCAGGACAAGAAATCAGTATTCAGCCTGAGATAAGAATATTTAATCTGGTGGCTAGGTCAATAGCAGAACGTGGTGCGGGAGAGGCCCACACGATGGGTAAGAATAAAACACAAAACCAAGACGTCTTTCTCAGGGGTTCGATGGTTATGGGTTTCTTAAAACTGAATGGCAGGGTCGTGCATCAAACAACGGGCGCTATGAAAAGGTCGCAGCAGAGACCTTTTAGCGTAATAGTTCAAAACGACGACTCCTGTTGGCTGTGTCGTGTCTCCAGAATGTCAAAAAGAATAATCCCCCCGCGGTCGTGTTAAGCCACAAAGCCACAGGGAAGCGGCCAAACACGGTAGAGGCAGAAGAACAGAGAACTCGTGAGAAGCTTGTTAGAATTGATGTCAGGGGAAACGACACTCGACTTGGAAGAGACCGAGAACAACAAGTCCTCACACATGGACAACTGGCGGACCTTCCCCGAGACTGTTTGGACACGTCGCTCATCATAAAACCACCATGCTGCTGCTGCCAGAAATTGTACGATTATGTTTTGTACTTCCATGCCTTATCCGTGGCTCTTTTCCCCGATGTGGTTATTTTTGTTGTTGCTGCGCTTTTGAGTCCCGGCAGCCATTGGGGCTTTGCGTTCCACTTTTTGCGGCTACAATTTTTTCCGCGACACGGGGAGGGGACACACGGGCGGACACAGAGGCAAACGGTAACACCGCAAACATAATGCATCCACCACATATCTCGTGGAGGGATAAAAAAAACTGTTTTTAGCATATCACCATAAGCCTGCGGCAGCTGCAATTGGTTGCACGTGCATTTTTTTTTTACGCAGAAAAGGCAACGCACGAAACACATACAGTGTGTGTGTCTGTAGGTGTGTGTTATTGTACTCTAGTACAAAGAAGACACGAGAAGCTACTATATACAATACAGTCCTCCGTAACAGCAGCACATTCATTCCCGCACGGGTACATTAAGGAGCTTAAAAAATAAGCCTGGGGTCACCGACTGCATGCCGCGAGATTGGAGTGAATGTGTTGGTATTCTTTCTTAACCCCAAAACCATTTGGCCATCTCCCCTTTATATGTAATAATATGGTGACGCTTACAGCAAACGCATCATACAACTGCAATTGTATTTGACACGAGGTCCTTGGAACATGGGAGAAATTAGACAAATACAGGGTGCTTCAAACATTTTTTTTAACGCTTATTCGTTTTTAATGGAAAAAGA